ACTTATTATTATCTATTGTCATGAGTTTCATACTAAAAATTCTGTACTCTTTTCAAATATGTTTTAAAATATTTAAAAATCGCAGCAATGCAGTACAAGAATGAAAAAGTAACTTCATACAGTTCAAATGAAAAGAAAGATATGTGTCTTCATCAAAATTTAAAAAAATAAATACTAAATATCTATTTCGTTGAACAAAAAAAGACAATTACTTTCCATATTTTTAAGTGCTGATTAGTATATAATTTTATTTTACAAAAAGGAAAAAAAATGTAAAAATAAATGTCGGATTTTCTCCATTAATATTGAAACGAAATAATGGCTTTTTTCAAACCTTGTAATTCTTGAAATAACGATTCCCCTATTTGAATTCAGAAACTGATTCTCATTATTTCTTTATCTTTTTATTATCCGATTTTCTCTCTCCAGTAAAAATCAATTTCCACTCTTTCTAAGTTCCATAAAATAAATTTTTATAACTACGTTTGAGTATGTGTTAATGCATTTTACCATTTTATTCACAAAAAAAAATATTTTATAGGTAATGAAAATCAGTCCATTAAAAAGTTTAAAGTAGTTTAAAAAAAGGAAGTATAGTTTGCATTTAGAAATCTTTTAATACTCTCTTTCAATGTTTATAAAAAATGAATAAAAAAATAATAACTCATTTGCTTCATCAGAAAATTGTCTTAGTATAGGTTTTTAAGCTTAGTTTTTATGTCATAATATGTTTATTTTTTTACAAATTTTATAAAACAGAATGATCGATTTTTATTACTTTTTTTAAACAGCATCATTATTAATAAAAAATGTTTTTTTTTATACTTTTTTTTTATGCTTTATTATGGAAGGAGATCAGAAGATGCATTGAATTAAACTCTCTTACTGCAAGCGCAACTTTAATTTGCTTATTTTTTTGAACTTTATGATTGATTTTTAAACTAAAATTACGTGAGAAGATAGTTCAATTTTTACTTTGCAATTATCATACTTAAAATTTCTTTCTAACCCATTATTAATGCAAAAAATAAGTTAGACATAAGAACTTTACCATAAATTTAAAAATTGATACTTTTAAGGGAACTTTTTAATGAAAAATGCTATACGTTTAGAGAATTTTGTTTAATTCAAGACTTTTAATAAGTGGTGAAAATTAAATTTACGTAAATAATAATTTGGGATTTTCTAAACTAATATATCTAAGAGCAAACTATGAAAACTAAGTGTCTAATAACAAATCAAATATAAGTGTTTACAATTTAGCTACTTTTAAAATCAATAAATATATTTACTTTACGAATATATCTCTTTCTTTCAAAATTTAATTAAATTTTTTTGAAGTATAGCATGACACAGTTAAATAAATGCTTCTTTTGTGTTCAACACTTTGTTTTTTTTCCTTTTTTGAATATATATTTTATTCAATTCCGTTTTATTTACATCAGAAGTGATTAAATAATATAAATATTTATCGTAGTATACAAAGACAGAATATTTTGTTTGAAAAGTACTACTTTCTGGTAGCTGTATGCATTTAAGTTTATCTGTTATCGCTCTTTAGTGATTTATAGTAGCTGAACGATTTATAGTAACTGTTACTTTTTGAATTACAAATAAAATCTTTGTATATATATTATAATAACAATTGTTTCATTCTTTTATTTATTGGAATTTGTAAAATTGCAATTCAATAAAATTATTTTAGTCATTGATTAAAACCCATTATGTATAAATATGAGAACGATTAAAAACGAATTAAATATAAAAAATTTTATCGTACTCTGCGATAAAATTCTAGAGAAAATTATGGTAAAATGTTCTGGCACTAAGAGTACAAATACTGTTATTTCAAATTTCTTTTTATCTATTTAAGTTTTTACTATAATAGTCTACGGTTTTCACAATTCATATATTTATCAAATCTCTTACCTCAAAGTTCATAGCTCTTTTTGTTTGCTCTTAGCGCTTCTAACTATACATTTCTGCTCCCTTATCTCACAGTGTTCATGGCTTTAAAAATCAAATTTAATATGCTAAAAAAATTATGCAAGAAGTAATATTGTATAAAAAGTACTTGAATGACTACATTTAAAAGTAAGATTTCCATTGAAAGTTTCCTTACTTTTTATATAAAGTAATAAGGTTTTTTTTTCTTACAGTAGGCGTCCATCAAAATTGGTACAATTTAACACTATATATTAAATAATATGTTATTTCATATTTCAAATGGCCACAATGGAATTATTATTGCAATTTGTTAGCCCTTAGTTTTACTAATTATGCATTTTTAATCCTAATAAAACTTGCATGCTAATAAATTTTGAATATTTGATAAAGCGAAAAATGCATTTCTTTTCCAGGGAATAGCTATTTAATAATAATTCCTCCACTTTCAATATGGAAGTAGAAAGATTTAAGTGTTTTTAAAAAGTAACGTTTCAAAAGAACTATAATAAGTGTGGAAAAATTTATATTGTTTATTTATATTATTTTTTTTAAATTTTTGTCACTGGAATCAAAATTGAAAATAAAGAAATTTGATTTTACAGTAAGTACTCTATAATTAAATCACATTGCTAAAAAAGCATTTAGTACTATGTGAATCAAAGTAATTTAATGTTAAAGCTGAATGCGAGTTGTATTTAGTAAATGTAATAAATTACTAATGCTGGCTTTTACTTATATTTGAAACAAATTTAAATAATTTCTCACTGCACCTTTAGAAACTGTGGTGTAATTATTTCAATTTAATAAAAAAATCGATCATTCATATACACTCTGAAAAGTGCCATTAAAAATCACCAATAATTGATAACGCTTATCCCAAATCAAATGCATTTACTCCAAGAGGCCGGAATTTGTTCTCTTTTAATGTTCCGTAGCTTTGGAGAATTGAAAAATAAATACAAGAAGGATTTCATTTGAGCTAAATGTGATGTAATCGATGAGAAAACACTCCAGCTACACATTATGAGTTATTTCACTTAATTATCCATATTATTACCAAATATAGGAACATTTTTAATTTTCGATCTATGATCGTGGAAATCTAATTCTAATAAGGCTTAGCTGCTGACTGTAGAACCTACGGGAGTACAAGTTCAGAGACGATTATGTGTCAAGCAAATTCAATTGTTTTAATGGATTGATTTGACAAATTGATCACGTGAACTGTTATAAATGGCACGGGTTTTTGGTTGTATAATTAAAAGTATTTTTGTTCTCATGGGAAGATTAACGTAAATCTGTCAATTCTATGCAATAATTTTGTAGAATTTAATTTTTATTTTCTTTGGTTATGTAGCTGCTGACTGCAGAACTTACGGGAGTACAAGTTCAGAGACGATTATGTGTCAAGCAAACTCAATTGTTTTAATGGATTGATATGACAAATTGATCACGTGAACTGTTATAAATGGCACGGGTTTTTGGTTGTATAATTAAAAGTATTTTTGTTCTCATGGGAAGATTAACGTAAATCTGTCAATTCTATACAATAATTTTGTAGAATTTAATTTTTATTTTCTTTGGTTATGTAAAGCCTAGTTCGAATTCAGATTTATATTATCCCTGTTCCGTGTGTATGTTTGATAAACAAACTAATTTCATTTTAAGAACTATTGTGTATAATAAGCTGACCAGCGTCCTCCTAAAACAAAAGATCTGGTAGCAAAACTTCTAAAAAAGCATTCCGAAACTCACCTCGTTACCTTTCTAATTATTTAAAAGAAATATTTCTAATTTGCATATCTCTGCTAAGGATTTATGTTCTTAGAATATAAAATTAAAAAAAGGTAATGCAATGTGTTTTCAAAAATCTGCATAGAAATTTTAGTACATTACATTCAGAAATTTACATTTAATCCTAAAAACATTTTATCAATAATAATATTTATATTCGCATTCGAGAGGAAATCAAATTCTCTAAATAGATGATGATTCTTAACTTGCTAATTCTTTAGCGTAGATATTCAAGATTATAAAAGTCCATTGCAATTGTGTAGCTTTTTTGCTTTCAGTCAGCATTGAGTATTTACCTTTTATGCAATCATTTTAAACATAACTATATTTTTTTATCTTTAAAAAATAAGCAAATAATAGATATAATTCTATGATCGGATGAGGCAGCTTCACTAATTTTTCTTAAATTAACTTTGATAATTTTTTAGACTAACGGCCACGAGGAGTCTTTTAATTTACCACGGTTTGGCCGATCTTTTCGTGTGTCTTTATTTTTGAAGAAAGCTTTTTAAGCACATTTTCCCCGATAGTTCATTGTTTTAAAATTAAAGTTCATTTTACCATCCATTTAATTTTAATAGGATTCTTGGAAATATATAAGTGTACAGGAAAGCTCACTTTCGAAATGTGATTATAAAAAAAAATAATTAATCTTGTGATGTAACATTTTCTGTACTGTTCCATTATTTCTTAATATGTTTTCAAAAACTGAATCACTTAAAAACTTCTCAATAATTCCAACTTTATCGATGATTTTCCACAGATTCTACAGATATTTTTAATAAATAATGTCAAATGTTATCAATAAATGGCACAAAAAATTATAAATAAATGATGTTAAGCGTTATAAATAAATAATAGCAAGTGTTTTCAGCCAGTGATATAATATGTCTTAAATGATATGTTTTAAGTAAATCTCTTTTTATTCTGGAACTCAGAGATAAAAAATGTGATTACAGTTTAATTTCAAGTAAACTGAAGAACTTGATCATGCATCTGATTCACAAAAGTTAGAAAATAGTAACTATTTTTTTAAAATTTATTTAGATAATATGTCAATAATTTCTTATTTTTTCCTTTCAATTTTAAACGTAATTATATAAACCTAAGTCGTCTTTCCTAAATATATTTATCCTATAACGTTATTTCTCTTTCAGGTCGAGAGCACATTGTTTCGGGCTTCATTGGTGACTCAGCAGTGTTGCCGTGTGAAGTGGACTTACCCTCGTGTGGAAAAGTGTACTTCATAACGATTTATAGTAACTGTNGATGAAGGAACGTATAAGTGTGACGTCACTTATGTCAGAGGAAAGTGCCCTTCTTTATCCTTTACGAGACTCTATACTCTGAGTAAGTGTTGTTCAAGGACTATCTATTTCCAGTTTTTTTCCCGAAGATTTTGGTTTAGTGTTTACTTTTTTTCAACAGGATACCTTGCTCAAAAATTTCCTAGATAAGGGCTTTTGGGTCCAACCCCCGTCTAAGCTTATGTTGTATTTATACTGTTTGTTTGGTTTAAAATTTGTTGGAAAATGTGTAAAATAGTACGCTGTTATAAATTTCTCGGATAAAATGATTAAATAGCAATTTATTTAATTTTTATTTTACCATATAAATACAAAACAGTCAAATAACCATAAATAGGATATTATTCGAACTGTTAACTGTGAGAAAAATCGTTAATTAATTGATTTAATCTAATACAGTTAAGCAACCAGAGTTTTATCATGCGCTAACTAGGCCCACCTATTGACATAACGTAGTTCCTTGCGGTTGAGTACATATTATAGCCGAGAGTGCTAATCCGTCAATTCCATGACCGACGGAACGAGTGTTCGATTCCCAGAATTGACTCAAAAATATTCTTCCATTCCCTTCAACTCATGGTTTCCAATGTTTAACAATTCTCAATTTGTGACCCTGTACTATTAGAATACCATACTCTCCTTCGCGCACAGATGGCAGCACCATAACGCAAAAGATTCTAGCATTCCTCATCTCTTGCTATAGGTGAATGAACCAGATAAACTATTTAAACGACGTCTCACTGTTCATCTGATGAAAAACAAACCAGCCATAACCTAACTCCAATACCCATTATCAAGAGAAAAGCCTAGCTCTAATGTCAAGCTAAATTTCTTTTTTACGGTTTTGAAACCATGCTAGCTGTAAATGGTTAAGAAACTGCTTAGTTTTGTATTCATAGTTTTTCAACCATACCAGTTGTAAATGGCTTCAAAACCATCAAGTTAAAAATGCTCTTTACCGTAAACTTGGTTAATTGGATGGAAAGACTGCTGTAGATTGTTTTACCATAACTTTAGATTGAAAATTCTAACACTGTAGTGCTTGGCTAGAAACTAAATTGTTGGCTCTATCAAATTGAATATTATAATCCCCATCCTCTATGCAGCATAATTAAAAAATTCTGCAGATGATCATCATTGGTTTTTTTTTATCTCGCTAAACTCAAATTCATTTAAAATTAATTTCATGGCTGGAAATTTATTGTCACTTAGTCACGAAATTCAGCTAATTTAGTCACATATAATAGATTACTAATGAGTTACTTCGAATGAGAGCTAGCACAGAGTAAAGCTAAGCACATTAGTAATATTCTCATCTTTAGATTAAAATTGTGAATACTGTCCCATTTTCTGTTTTCAAATAAGAAAATGCGAAAATCGAGTTAAAAAATAAGATAGGGGCATGCTAAAGATAGAATACATAGAATTGAAAATTGCTAGGAGTTTTTTAATGTTAAAAAAATATTCAATATGGGATTAAATTGTCCCACCGTGAAACTACAAGGGTTGATTTAAATGCTTTTTTTGTTATATTTTTGGTAACAACACTGTTTCTGTGATTTCTGCTACAACAAGACTTATATTGTATCTTAATGAAACTTTTAATGTATACCTTAAAAATCTTGATACTACCTCACTATCGTAAGGTTAGTAAAAAAAAAATCTAAACCAAAAATTGCGAAAAAAATCTTGCGTTAAGACCTGGAGATTGGAATATTTCAAATTAAAGTTAACTTCAAAATTAACAATTCATGCTGGTGAAAAAACTTTTCCTCTGATTTTTGTTAAACAGTACAGTTTTTGACATCCTATTACTGTAGGACCTATAATAAGTTAAAGAATCATTAAGTACTATATATTTATTCTTACAGTCCTGATTAACATCTTTAAACATCAAATAATGTAATATTCTACCGTAAAATTAGTAAAAAAAATTGAACTGAAATGTAAAAATAAGTCATATACTGAAATCTGAATTCCAATTAAGTTAATTTTTGACATTGAAAAAGGTCTGTCTATTGAAACTAATACAATAATTTATGCTTTTTGACTCAAAATGACAATGACGCTCTTTCAAATTGATTTATAATTAAAATTACCGGTTTACATACATATTTTTAATTAAAAAATTAATTAGCTCGAAAATTCCTCTTTTTCGTTACTTTCAACCGATCCCGTTTTCTAACTACTTAACTATACACTTCACCATCATGTGTATTTTAATATCATCGTATTTTGAAAATCAAAAAATGATTCACAATATTTTTTTTTAAATTTCAGGTTACTCCACATCTTTTTTAATTATTTATATGATACATGATTTACAAGATACATACATACAACGTAATGTGTATCTTAAGATATAAAAATTTAAATGTACTTAATTCATCAATTTAAATGTACTTAATTCATCGTTCAACTTTTGTGTTTTGCCTTTTAAAATTATATGCATTAAAATGATATAAAAACGTGTATTCTTTATTTTTGCTATTACTAAATAAAATAATAAAAAGTAGTTAATTAAAATTAGTTTTTTTACAAGGAAATATCTTTGATAAAATGGAATTGATCAATGTGGGCTAAGTTTTTCTGTTTGCATCTAAAATTGACGAAATGCGGAAAAAATAAAATTAACAATAATTGGTTCAAACTTTCAGCTGCGAAGAAGAGAAGAATTTATTAGGAAAAAGTGCGTTTTTGATTTTTTTAACCTAAAATATCAGCTGCTCTAGTTAATTAGAAAATTCAAAGTTAAACTCTTGAACCTCCTGCATCAACTATCCGGACCGCATTTTCTGCTTTTCAGTCACTCTCCATTTATTTCATAATTAAGAATTCAAATCTGTTGTAAGAAAGGTATGTTTATTCAGAGAAAATGCGTTTTGTTTGAAATGAAATCTTAAAACATCGTTTGAACAAAAATAAATAGCATATTAAAGTTCAGGTGCTCGAACTAGTATAGTGCCAGTGCGTGAAAATCCAATCATTAGGATCAAAATTTATTGAGGGTGTGTGCTTTCTTTTTGTGCATTGCATCTATAAGGATAAGATGACTTTCGTTACTTGGTATTTGATATTAAAAGAAAATACATTTTTATTACAGCAAATTTACACTTTAAAGTTGCATTTAATATAAGTAAAAACAAGTTACGTTTGGCTGAGTTGCGTTTTAATCTCAGTTTATAATTTAAGTTAATTTCTAATTGAATTTAATAAACACTAAATATTAAATATTATTAGAAAATTACAGTAAGGTGCTAATGAAATTCATGGTCTTTGAATTCCGACCTTTAGCAATCCTCTAATGCCCTTTAATACATTACTTAAAAAATATAATGATTTTAAAAAACAAGTAGTGTTTAAATATATCAAGAGAAAACTACTAAAACTCAAAATATAGTTTCAACTAAGGCACGAATAAAACTCAAAATCGAGCTCCACCTAAGGCACTAAAGTAACTCAAAATTTTTGATTTTAGACTAAGGCGCTCATGAAACTCAAAGTAGAGTTCCTTCAAAAATACTAATAAAGTGCATTAATAATATTCAAGTTCCTTGAGTTCAGACTAAGACATGCAAACAACTCAAAATCCTTGAATTTCGACGGATAAAGTTACAAGAAAATTTATAATTCTTTGTAACTATTGATTTAAAAAAATACTGCATTTCTAAATTTTTATTGATACAAAAAAAATATTTTTCACTTTTTCTTATATTATTTTAACAGGTCTTTTTATTTATTTGGTTTCTGATCTACAGTTTTAATTCATTTACGAGAAAAATAAGATGATTTAAAAATAAAAGTATTTTAAATATTTTCAAGATAAAAAAAAATTTAAAAAAGGAAAAATAGTTCTTTACGATAGCACAATTTTCAAATTACATAATTAATTTTTGAAGTGTTTAATTACTAGATGCCTTGTTTTAATTAAATTTTTGGACACAAATTATAATTAATCTACATAAAGATGTGTTGATACACTTAAGGTTTAATTTTTTCCCCTGCTTCTGTTTAAATACCGATTTCATGTTAATTTCATAGCAAACAAAAACTTTTTTCATCTCTTATGCATCGACTTTAATGGGATATTAATTTTTAGGAAATAAGAAGCAAAAATTATTTTTGATTTCCTTGCCTCTCGAAAAATATGCTTCATTTGCCGAAAAGAGACATTTTTTTCAATTTAAAGAGAAAAAGTATTGAAAAGCAAGGTGTGCCATTTGATTAATGGGAAGCATTTTCTAATTCATGAAACAAATTACAAATTAAGGTTTTTTTGAGAATTTATTCCCAGAAGCATAATGACAAGCTAATATGCTTGTAAAATTTTAAAAGTAAATGCGCTTTGCTAATTAAACTGAGAATTGCAAGATAAAGTGGAAAAAAATGTAGTTTAGTTAATTGCAAAGATCATTTATGCGAAATTTAAATTGAAAAAAAGGAATAATTCAAATATTTTAAAAATATGCATGAAATAAAATGCAAGTGTAACTATTATGTTTAATGGCTTTTAATAAATTATTTAAAAAATATTATGATTTTTAAAAACTAGTAGTGTTTGAATTATTGAAATAGCTCTAAAGAGCATAATTGTATAAATAACAACTATGCTTGACTGATAATTCTGAAAATGTCTGTTTTCGTATTAGTCATTAAAACTGGCTATTTTTACATTTAATTAAATATTGATACAGTCACCTCTAACTTAAACATTGACGCATACAACTGGAAAATAGATAGATAAAAGAGATTAGTAAAAGCATAAATAAAAATCCTTATTAAAATGCTTTAAAGCATGAAACATAATTTCCAGTTAGAATAGAATATAACTGAATTAAGTCTTTACCGCATTGCGGTTAAATTGAAGGTAACGTTATTATGTTTAGGTTAATAAAATGAGATGCATTTTATTATATATATTTTCCATTCGTAGTAAAACATGCATTAAGTGAGTTAAATTTCAAAAGTTCGTCTAACTAGTTTCCTTTTTTTGTTTATTAACTTTACTTTTCAAATAATTAATTAGAGTTGAATGCATTAATC